GTTTAATCTGCTGTACCAAAAATTGACAAAAAAATCTGAAGCAGATAAATAACTATTATCCAAAAATCTTGTTTACTACTTGATGTTTACAGCGGGAGCTAGCAGCCAGTTTCGAATTCCTCTATCAAACTACAGCTTTAATTCGTGAATAAACATTTGCATCCTTTAGCCATAGAAATACTAATGAGTCAAATAACAACAGTGATGATGTACCAAAAATATTCAAATAATTTGGGGCAAAAGTTTATATTTTAGATGATCAGTTAATTTTTTAGTTTTGATAATCTAATTAATTAATTTTTTTTATTCAAGATTACTATAGGCAAATGCCTGATACTTGCAAATGATTTCTTTTATAGAATTTATAGAATTTTTAATAATTAAGTTAGTGAATTTTCTAAAAACAATATAATAATTACAGAGAGATACTTTGAAAATAAAAATATAATCAAGAATCGAGATTCCAAACCTTTTGTTTAAAGGATTCATGACATATTTATAGCTCATTAGTTTTTTTATGAATATAATGGACTAAAGTGTAACATTACCCAAATAATATTATAGAGAAAAAATATCAATGACATATGTATTACTGTTGATAAGAAATATCTCATACATATATATTAATGTGGGGAAATATCACTAATATATATATATATATATATATATATATATATTAATGTGGATGAAAATATAGCAGGTCCTTAAAAGATTTTTACACGTTATCTCTTACATAATACTAACATCGATAAAAATATGATGACTCCTTAGAGGACTTTTATACATCTAATGAGTATAGAGAGAGTAAGATTCAAAATATAGTTACACCAAAGGGAGGTTAGTCATTTCGTTGGCTGAGCTTAAGGGAGGTTTGGATTTATAGGGGTATTTAGGCCTTTAATTTTGACTTTATTAGTAGCCCTCTAAGTTTTTGTGATATTTATATGCAAAGGCTTGTTAAAGCACCCACTACAACAAGTTTGTCAAATTTTTTTTTTACGAAGCAGGGTGAAAACCTTAGTTAATATGTCAAAGTGCTTGTATGTAGGGGTATGCTCCATGTTTGAGAAAAATAATTTCTAAGTATGTAGAGATTAACCATGAAGAAACTCATATTTAGAGACTTTTCCAATAGGATAAGCTGAAACCATAAGAATCTATACTTATAATTTTTTTTTAATAGGTGAAGAAACTTAAAAAGGGTAAGTCTATATTTAGAAGTTTTTCTAAAAGGTTGAGAGGAACTCATAAGGGGTGAAGTCCGTGCATATAAAATTTCTAAGTTGCCGAGGAAAACCTAATGAGGATGAGTCTATATTTAAAAAATATTTCAAGAGACTAACATGAATGAATTCCTATCGACATCCATACTTGGAAAATCCTCAATGGATAAAGAGGACAGACCCATGTTGATGCCTATACTTAAAAAAATTTCTAAAAGGTAAGGGAACCAAAGAAGGGTTGTGTTATTATATTAAGAAGGCCAAGTTAATCCTTTTCTTAGAAAGTTATTGCATTTTTTTAAAGAGTTGCACGTTTATAGCCTCATTAGCGATGATAGAGGACGTGAGAGCCTTCCACTAAAAAGAGAGACCAAACCTAAGAATGAGAGATTTGAGATCATTTTTGGAGATAACATAAGGTTTAGGAGCTTATCTGAAAAGTTGTCTTAGTTCTAGAGATTCTAGTTAGCCTTTGTATTAAATATTTATCTATAGAACAAGGGTTCTATTACTTTATTAAGATTGTTTATCTTAAGTTGTCATGGAAGGTAGATCTATGGTACTAGGGAGAACCCCTTTTAAGGAGAGTGTGCAATCACACTAGGGAGAGCTCAATCCAAGGAGATTATGTAATTGTACTAGGAAAAACCTCTTTTAGAAGAGTGTGTAAGAGTCTAGAAGTCTTGTCAGAAAGATAATTCTTTTAATTTAAAAATTAAACTTACATCTTCTCATGGATACTATATCCCAATGTGATTTATTGGACTCCAGTGAACTATTAAAGAATGATGCTATTGCATTATAAAAACCCCTAATCAATCCATTTTAAGGGTGGGTTCGCCATGAGTACCAGGACTTGCTAAGGCAGCAAAGCTTGATTTTACAATTGAGCAGCCAATACAACTTGGGTGAGGGGTTCTACTTGGTTGATAAGTTGTTGGAAGTTCAAATGAGCAGAAGTGTTCACGATAATGGATAAATCCATTAAGCTTTCTAGCTCAAATGTGTCATGGTTATTTGCCATGGAATGACTTTAAAATATCATTAGAAAGAATATGAATACTTTTTTATTAGTATTCCATGGATGGTGCAATTGATGATGTTTTAGAAAATTCAAGTAGTTTGGGGGCAAGGTTTATATTGGATAATCAGTTAATCTCTTAGTTTTAGTAATTTAATTTATTCTTCCTAACTAAGGTGGCTAGAGACAGATGCCTAATACCTGTAAAAGATTCTTTTTGATGAATTTGGGGACTTTCTAATAATTAAGTTGGTGAATTTTATTAGAGAAAATGCAATAATATTACAGAGAAATACCTTAAAAATAAATATGCAGTCGAGAATGGAGATTCTAATTTAAGTTAGTGATTATATCTATTTATGGCCTATGAGTTTTTTTATGGAGATGAGATGTTAAAGTATAATATTGCCCTGATAATATATATAAAAAAAAGAAAATATTTCTAACATATATATTAATGACACGACAAAAAGATTGATGTCTTCTCCCAAGTGTAGGAGTGTCGAAATAATAAATAACCCGGCAAGACCGGGGTCGAACCAAAGAGAGGTTAATTGTACAAATTATAAACAACAACAATAGTAACAACAACAACAATAATAATAGTAATAACAATAATAACAATAATTACAATAATAATAATAGTAGTAGTAGTAGTAGTAGTAGTAATAATAATAATAATAATAGAAGAAGAAGAAAAAGAAGAAGTTGATGAGAACTTTGAGATAAAAAATTAACATAAGGATTAAATAATGATAACAAACAATGTTAAGGTTAGAAGATCCACTAATGGTATGTCAAACAAGTATAGTATAAACTCTTATTATTCAATTGAAAACCATAAACAAAGGAGGTTCCAATCAAATTATAGATTGTTAATATGATTACATTAGTTATCTTATTCAATTAATGCTAATACTTGTAAATTTCATCAAGCATTCATGATTATAACTTATGTTAACAATAAATCAAGTTCCTTTTATAGCTCAGGTGTCGGTTATACCATACAGTATGGGCTATGAAAGTACCAAGCATTTGTTGTACCAAGTGTTATACAACATAAATCAAGATTAGTCATTTAACAAGTAAAGTATTAAAGAGTGAACAAGATAATAAATACAAAACATGTTAGTATCAAACATTAAAGTCTATATTAAGTTTACACTATACTTATTCTTACACCATTAGTGTAACCTTTTCACCTTGACATAATAAACTTAGCTAAACATAATAAAAGAAAGAAAAATAAATAAATAAAATAAGAACATAAATAAGATAAGAGTTAACTAAGTAAATGAAAGGAAATAAAAGGCATAAACTTGATATTAATGAAAGCAAAGCATAAACATTACAAAAAATACAAAGAGAGAAAGCAAAAGCATGATCATGATCTGGAGACCAAGATGTCTAAATGCATGGCAAATGCCTCCTTTTATAAGTCAAAATTGGAAACTATTGATTTGATGACTAATTGATGAGTGGGTGACCAACTCTTGACTTGGTGATAATCTTTATCTTCTCTTGTCTGCCCAAAACGTCATTGATAACGTCAAAATTGGAGCCACTTGAAAACATGAAAGTTGTAGGAAATTGTCTTAGCTTTCTTGTATAAACAATTTAGCTCATTTCGACTTCTAGAACTCTAGATATGGCCAAAATACTGAACAGTGCTCGGGCTAGAGGACAAATTCAGGCTTCTTTGTTGTTGCTATAATTTGGACTTGAAAATGACCTTTTTAGATCTTGGGCTCCATATGAAAGTTGTAGGCCTATGTCTTACCTTTCCATCCATATAAAGTAGACCTAAATCTGAGATCTATAGCTCCAGATATGACCCAATTACCAAACAGTGTTCCGGTTTGGATTGCACCGACATCTCTTTTCTAATTTTGGTCATCTCTTTGCCCTTGCAATTTAAGTTCTTAAAGTTATCAATCAATCCTTTCATTTATATGATAGACCTGCATTTAAAATGAACATTTACCACAAATTAAAGGTATCTTATATTATTAGATATATTATTATAAAACATGTTTTAGTTAAGGAGTTATTGATACTTCAAGTGCAAAATAATGATATAAAACCATGATAAAAATACACTTTTAAGTACTAATCAATTAATATTAATAAGAAATATGCCTACATATGTATTAATGAGAGAAAATATCCCTAATATATATATTAATTTGAATGAAAAAATGGTAAGTTCTTAAAAGACTTTGACACAATATCTTTTACACAACATTGTTATCGATAAAAATATGATAGGTCCTTCAAGGATTTTTACATATTTAATGAATGTAAAAAAAATAGGATCTAAAATATAGCTAAACTCAAGGAAGATAAGTCATTATCTTGGTTGAATTGAAGGGAGGTGGATCGTATTTTTAGCTAGTTAATCTAATAAAAATTATGTTTTTTATAGTATTTTGGGTCATTAAATTTGAGTTGATCAAATAAAAAAAATTATGTAGTTGTGATTTATATTAAAGAAAAAAAAGGAAGAAGAGAGCAAAACGTTTATATATATATATATATATAATATGCTTTTGATTGTAGGGCTTAAGTAACAGCTATGAAATCTGTTTCTTTCCTTTTGCTTTAGCAGTCAAGCCCTCGAAACAAAAGGAGTATATGAGAGAGAAGGTTCCTTAATCTTTAGAAAATCCAACTGGAATGTCTTTCTCTCTCTCTCTCTCTCTCTCTCTCTCACACACACACACACACACACTCACACACACACACACACACACACACACAAACCGCTTACAGTGGGCTGCTTAAATTGGCAAAGACTCTTAAAGGTGAGTGCCTAGCTCGGCTTGAGGGAGCCTTTTCCTTTTTCTCACTGACTTCGGTTAAAGTAAGAGACACAGAGAGCGATTTCAATGGTTGAAGCACCAGGCTTATACCTAAATTCCACAGCCATAGTTTCCTCTTCTCGGGCTCTTCCTCCACCAACTTCGTTCCTATCCCCTCTTACTACGAGTTTTCTTTTCCCTTAACGAATTTAAAACATTTGTACTTCTGTTTCGGAGATATTTCTCATCTGGGTTTCTTTTTTTTTTTTTCTTACTACTTTTTCGTCTGTTGAAAGTATCGAGGCTGTATAGTGCTCGTATATTTCCGTTCCACACACACACACACATATATAGTTGTTGAGTTAATTTTATGATTCTTGATTGAATCAACATCTGCAAGTCTTTCAAGTTGTTTTTCTTTGAATCTTATCTCAAAAGAAAGCCGTATATTATATGCATATTTTTGTTTTCAAGACAAATATTAAAGCTTATTCTTAATTAATAGCTATAATAAATATACGTGCTTTTCTTAACATGAGTTCATAAATCAAATTCATGATTTGTGCTGTATAGAAAGCTCGCAGGATATGAATAGCAAGCTGTTGTTTAAGTTTTTAAAAGTTAGGCTTGGGAGAAAGAAGATACATGTACACCTAGCATTAGCTGTCTGAGAAAGAAGCATGAGTACTAGGTGTAGCATGGCTTCCATCAGCAGCTCTGATCTCATCGATGCGAAGCTTGAAGAGCATCAGCTGTGTGGATCTAAGCAGTGTCCCGGTTGTGGACACAAGCTCGAAGGAAAGCCGGTAATTGATATGGATAATTTCCTCATAAATATTCTTTCCTTCTTTCCAAATAGATTTCGACACACAAGAATATTGCAAAGCAAAAATGACTAGCATGCTTTTTCTGTTTTATTCTGGGTTTTTTACCCTTTTAGCTTTTCTTTTTTTAGGTATTGATTAATCAATGTAATTGTAAATTAAAAAAAACTGTAATTTTCAAATTATTAAGTTGAGCTTTTGTTTTAACTTGGTTTTGATTAATTGGAGTTAATTTTCAGGACTGGTTAGGTCTACCAGCAGGAGTGAAATTTGATCCAACAGACCAAGAGCTGATAGAGCACCTTGAAGCAAAGGTAGAAGCCAAAGACATGAGGTCTCACCCTTTGATAGATGAGTTCATCCCTACAATAGAAGGGGAAGATGGGATTTGTTATACCCATCCTGAGAAACTACCAGGTCAAAACTCTCAGTTCTATCATCACCTTCCTCTCTCTTCATTGTTCAAAGTTGTTAGGTTTTGCCATATTATTATTATATCCCAAATTCATGAAAAAGAAAAACAAGAAACCTAGCTGATGATTTATTCATGTACGGCTTGTTATTGGGTGTTCTTGTAAATTTGCCATGACTTTGGAGGAGACTTGTATGTATCGTGTCTCAGTTTGTTGCACCTAAGTGAACCGAACCTTTTCTTCTTTTCATGCAGGAGTCACGAGAGATGGGCTCAGCAGGCATTTCTTCCACAGGCCTTCAAAAGCTTACACCACTGGAACAAGAAAAAGAAGAAAAATTCAAACCGAATGTGACTTGCAAGGTGGGGAAACAAGGTGGCACAAAACAGGCAAGACAAGGCCAGTCATGGTGAATGGCAAACAAAAAGGATGCAAGAAAATCCTAGTCCTCTACACCAATTTTGGCAAAAATCGAAGACCCGAAAAGACTAATTGGGTCATGCATCAGTACCACCTTGGTCAGCATGAAGAAGAGAAAGAAGGAGAGCTCGTGGTTTCTAAGATTTTCTATCAGACACAGCCAAGGCAATGCAATTACACTGATAGAGCTGCAAGCGTAGGTGAAGGAAGCAGTGAGCCTAACAGCAGAAGAGACGGTGGTAGTGTGAGTTGTTCTTCCAAGGAAATATCTCTTCATGGAGATGAAATCTCAGGAACTGGGACAGTTGCCTCGTCACTAACAAGTTACACCGCCATGGATATTCAACAAATGAAATCTGATCATTTTTGCTTTACTCCATTCAGGAAGGGCTTCGATGAGGTATATTTACTCATTCACAAACGCACACACGAACATACAAGTACTTCTTTCGTATATATTTATTCATCAAACAAGATTTGCAAATCCAAGGATATTGCATGTATTAATTATATAGTGCCTGTAAAAAATAAGGAATTGTATTCTAAATTATAAAATTTTATATAACGAAAAAATTGACATGACTGTAACGTCCTTGTTTCTATCATATTTCTCATGCAAGATAGATTAACGAAAGTAAAAGAAGAGGAATAATAAAAAAGGAAGAAGAAGAAATTTCTAGCTGGGTTTACTTAATCTTCTCATTTCATTGCTTGCAAATTCAGCATGAAAAACTCTTTAGACCTCACTTGATTATCTTTGTCAGCTAACTAAACCATCGAAGAAGAGACCGAATTGTAAGTTACAACGTGCATTAATGAGAATGAAACCAATATTCAAATTAAAACTGATAGAATGAGCAAAGGCATGTAAATAGAAAAGGTAAAGTAGGAACTAAAGCAGAAAGAAAAAATAATAAGAAAGATCCTGAGTCGAAGAGGTCTGAAAATAGACTAACTATCAAACTTCGTCATGGGGGTTGCAACCATTTCAGGTGGGGATAGGAGAGGCTTCAGTAGCAAGGGAAGCGTCAGCATCAGGCATATGCGATGAAATTCGAGAGCACCATCAGAGGCCACATCATGTGGCCCATGATCCCCATCAACAACAGACGCAGCAGCAGCAACACCACTACCACCACCACCAAACGGCGCATCACCAGTTTGCAAATACTGCGTTTCACTTCAGCACGCCTTCCCATCCCTTCTCACCCATCATCTCTCCACCTCCCCTCAATCACTCCATAATGCTTGATGAGGACCCCTATCATGTGTCCAGAATAATACTTCAAAACGAAATCCAGGTAAGTTGATCAACCTAATTACTAATCACATGTCCTCCAACTTTCTTTCAAATCTAATCACACACTATTAAATTGAATCAAATTCTTATATGACTATGATTAATTAGTCTTAACGTATCTCTTATTAACACTTAATTCCCATTTCTTTTATAGCAGTACTAGAATTTCACCATATGGAACACGAAATTTTAGAGTAAATGCACGTCTGTTAACATAAAGTTGTTAACCACAATGTCCAGGAAACTGTTCATCAAAACAAACATCTCTAGAGAATAATAATAATAATAAGACTGTGTACTTATATTAAGTTTGACCTGGTGCCGGAATGATATAGAGGGAAGAAAGTCGGTAGCCCAGGTGATATATAGAGAAGCCAGCTACCAACACTAGGACTCTTCCTCGTCCACCCTGGCCCTCCCCCTCCTCTAGTTCAATGAATAAATTTTCATTCTCAGAGATGGGAAACTCACTAACTTGTATTGTCTACTAAATTGGATGCAATAAACTGTCTTCTTTCTTTTTAAGGCTCTTCGAAGACATGATGATTAATCTTGAGGTTTTATTTATTTATTTATTGTGGATAAATGAATGCAGCAACAACAGCAGCAGCAGCATCATAAACTGGGAGGAAGGTCTGCATCCGGTTTGGAGGAACTCATAATGGGTTGCACTTCAAATGATGTAAAAGAAGTGAGTATGAACTTTTTGACCCTGAAATCCATGAGCCATGTTCCTCGTAGGAATTAAAAAGAACGAAGAAAGGGTGAGAAGGGATATTTTAAATAAAGAGAAAATAAATCTGATTGAAAACCATTTAATTTCGTTATTACCGGAGAAGATTACTGTTATTTTAAACTAAAGATACGGAACCGGAAACCTTATCTTTCTCTCTTTTGTCTTTTATTTTCCTTTTCCTTTCCTGTTTTGAGCTTTAAATATCATGCTTACAGTATGTATGTACGAGTAAAGAAATCGATAGCTAGCGTAGAGAGCACCCTTTTCTTTTTTATTATTACTTGACAGGGAAAGGTCCATTACAGATGTCGAAGATTTTAAAAGATTTACAGCGTAAATTGAAATCAAGAACACATATAAACTTACAGATTTACTACGGGTTGCTTTATTCCTGGCAGCATGCAAGGACTGCACCTTTCTTTGAAGTCACAAATTCTCAAACAATTTTAATATTTATTTATTTATTTTAAAAACTATAGTTTGGGACTTTACTCACGCCTCATATTGTCAAATTAAAAATTCTTGTAAAAGAGAAAATTAATATATATATATATATATATGTATGTATGTATGTATATATATATGTATGTATATATTTGCGTGCATTAATTTTGTATGTCAAATTTATTTTAAGAAAGCACATAAGAAAAAAAAGGAAAATGAAAATAAGAACTGAAGATTAAAATAAAAGGATGCGTGGGTCTAAAATAAGAAAGGTTGATGATAGCGACTTCAAAACTTTTATCATGCGTGTCCTCTCAAGGTAATACAGTATCAGACAAGCTTATTGTGGATGAGATTAAAAGGACAAAAGACGCAGCTTCATTTATTTGTTTTTAAGTGCATTTCCTGTTCAAACCAGAACCCTAGCTAGCAATTTCTCACATGTTTTCATTTTTATTGCAGGATTCTTCCATTGCAAACCCACAAGAGGCAGAGTGGTTGAAGTACTCTTCCTTCTGGCAAGACCCTGGCAACCAGGATCATCATGGGTAGAACCGAAGGAGAAACAAAACCCATACAGACACTATCATTATCGTCATCATCAGTACTTGAAGCTTCCCTGATATTCCTTTCTATAGGAGAACCAAGAGATCATCTTATGAGGTTGCTCTTTTACTTTATTTTCTCTTGGGCTGGGGCCTGCCTTATTATATTGAACCACCTATTCAACAGTCCATGTTGGCGAGAGAGAAAAGAAAAACAAAAGGGCACAAAAACGAAAAAAAAATAATAATAAAAAAAAGAAACCAAGAAAGGCTGCCCTCTAATAGTCTAATGACATATAGGAGAAACAAAGACCCAAAGCAAAATCTTCGCGCATGAAAATCATCACCATTTATGTGCCTATTCTTATTATTTTATTTTTTTAACTTCTCCAGTGTAAGTTCTTTTATTGTCATCTGAACAGAAATATATATATATATATATATATATATATATATATATATATAACGAATAGGTTGTGCAAATTACAGGAAAAACGTTGTTAATTTATTTTTCTTATTTCATCTTATAGTAAAATACGAATATATAGATTTTTTATAATCTCTTTTCTCAGCAATAAAAAGTTTGTCTGTGATTTCTTTATATTATCGGTTCCTATCCTTTTCCACTTCTTTATGTGCTTCAAGACAAGTTAAAAAGGACGTCTATTTATTTATTTAATAGAAATGGTTTTGTATTAGAATGAAAAACAAAACCCAGTAATGGAGAAATTTTATAGTTTTCAGGTAAGTATTAATATATTATTAGTTATTTTTTGAACTACTTTGAAAAATAAACATAGGAAAGGACAATTCTAAATTAAAATATTCTTATTAGGTCATGAATTATATTCTCTCTTCTCCTTATGTATGTCTCTTTAATTAAAATGTATCATATATAGTTATTAATAAGATATCACTAGTTACTTCTTGAATATTCTAATTTTTTTTGCAAAAGATGATCAAGAAAAATAACATTGATAGATTATATCTAGGTAAAAAGTCTCTATTTTTACTTGAGCTTTATTTTGCGAAACTATTTGTTACATTGTCTTTACATCTAAAATAAATATATAAAAATAAAATATATAGAATTGTGATTGTTCATCACAATGAAAGGAAAAAGAACTGAAATATACCATAAATAAGAAGAATTGGTTAAGCTTGGTTAAGATGGGAAAGTTGTTGATTGACTATAAAATTTAATGGGGCAATTAACAAAGAAGCCTTAAGTCATGATTGACCAAAAAGAAACAATCAACTAATATAGTATCAACTAAGGAATACTAAAAAAATATAATTTTATTTAAAATATGAATCAACAAAATAACTAATGAAAATACATATATTAGACTAGGCTTCATATGTGTATTAGTAGATGAGAAATTTGGCTTGTATTAGGATTTAGCAAGTCTCTTTGTTTAATACAAATATTTTTATAGGATTAACATTATTTATGGAAGTGGGATTCAAACACTATAATAATATAGATTGGGCTAGATACTACTATAAATGATGACCAGCTCCCTGTATTAAAATTCTTATAATTTTATTTTTTTAAAAGGGTTTTTTATTTATCTATTTATTTACTATTTTATTTATTTTCTATAGTTAAGTTTCTTGTAAACTCTTTCTCATTTGGAACATCTCTATCTTCTTTACATGGTAGTGTTTTTAGAGCAAATTACCTTATTAAGGGTTCAAGAATTAGAATAAATATTTTGTTTGATTAGAGATAATTGTTGATTCTTTATAAGCTCAATCCTAAGTATAGTTAATTAATTAGGAAAATAATAAATTGGTACATTTTTTAGGATTAAGATTAAGAATTTGTTCTAGAAGTCATTAAAACAAGTCTATAAAAAAAATTACTATAGATGAATAGTTAATATTGTTTTAGAATTAAGACAACAATAACACCTAGGAGGTAAATTAGGTGTTTCACTAATAATAATAAATATTACAATTAACTTCATTAAACACGATTAACTAATGATATAATTAAAATGCTTAAGTAAAGAGTATAAGGATATAAATTACAAACTTGGTTTTCAACGTAGTTTGACAATCCTACATCCACACTCAAGTACCAAACTGGTCTTGAGTATTACATTATTTACTAATCCAAGCCAAAGATTACAATGTCCTTTATAAAGTCTCACCAAGCCTTTTTTCATCACTTAAAGAAATACCTTCTTCAAGATATTTCATGTTGATGATATATCTCACCAGTGACTAAGAGTTTTTCACTTAAACTTTTGAAGTATTATAATTATTTGAAATTTAACAACACTCTAAAAAAATAAATAATATAATTGAATTTTATATCTCTATAGGTCACTTGATAACACTTCTAATATATAAAAGTGTTTAAGTATAGTGAATGCTAGAATTTGTACTCTTGTGCAAGAATATGAAGATTTTAATATATAATTATGATTATGATTTAGGAATGATGATTTAGAGTTATTTTTACTCTTAATATAGTTTTAATATAGTTTGTACATGATATATATTCAAATTATATGTTTGATTCTTCAATTAGACTAGCTATATATATGTTTTTAGCAAAAACTAAATGTTGTATAGCCGTTACAATTCCTCTAATAACTAAAATGGTCGATCTAGTTAGATTGGTCAAGTCTATTGGTTAGCTGGTTCCTACAGATTCCTAAGTGTTCATCCATGATGAACAAACGGTCCATCATTTCATTTGTCATGACCAAACAATCAAATAGTTTAACTTAAAATTCAGTTTTAAGCCTGGTAAAATTTGAACGGAGTAAATGCGTATCAATCCTATCACATATGTGTGGTGTCATGGCGATTTTCCTCTAGAGCAGGATTATCAAGAATGATGTGGGTGAAAAGAACAGGGAATGTTTGTCCTTTATTAGTAAAAAAGGAGAATGAGAGTCACCACCTAGTATTTTGATCACTAAGAACATTAATGGTCTATGAAAGTATAAGTAAGGGGATTGATTGCATAAGGAGAAAATGTATCACCCCCAACTATAAAAAAATACCTTTTCGTTTGTTCTAAGTCATGTTTTGTATTCGTTAGTCTATCTAAGGTTTTAAAAAAATCATCATTAGTAAGAAGATTCTTATCTCTTCAAGTTAAAACCTAGCTATTCTAAAAAATCCTATAAAAGTGTCTAAAGTTTAAGAAAAATCCTTATCGGTAAGGAGATTCTTATCTTACCATGTTAAAAATTAAACAATCAAAAACCTAAGAAAAAAATGATTTTTTATTTTATTTGAAATTTTTTTTCAAGTCCTAAAGGATAATTACAAACTTGTGATATCCATTAGCTATTATTTTGTTTTTGTATTTTTTAAAGTATTATGAAAATGTAATTTTTGTTTTATGTATAAAATATGCATGAAAATTTTAGAATTTGATCATATGCACACAAAATAAAATATATTTTTATATTTTTGAAATGAAGAAATGTTTTAGAAATTTTTGATATTTTTTAAAAATTTTATAAAAAATAAATATTTTTAATGCTAGATCTGTATCTTATAATATAATCTACAACCATGATATTAGGTGAAATGTTTGGAAAAATTTATGAGGGATCCATAAATAATTTTAAAATAATCCTTGATTTTTTTTTCAAATTATTTTAGATTTGTTTGGGGCCTATTTAGCAAAAAAAATACATTTTTTTCCTTAAATATAGCTGCCAAAATAGGCGTAATAGCATGTTTGCCCAAGAAAACCTTTATCAAAATACTTGCCAAACTAACAAGATCTAACTTAATTGACCTGATGCCAAACTAAATGGGTTGACCTGAAATCATTGGTTTGACTTCGAACCAAACCTAAAACTTTGATTTAACCAAAAAACAAACCCAAAATAAAGTAAATATTAAAAAAAAAACAGATTCAACTAAAATAACCAAATCAAACATAAAATTTCTTGAAGAAAAAAAATCAAACATACACAAGATAAAGAATACAATGAATGTTATTCGCGAACCTAGAAACAGTTACTCTTATCATTGGCCATATATAGCTAAACTAGAGGCATAAAAAGATTATAAATCATGCAAAGGTCAATAATCTAGTACTTATGCACTTTGATTATCACTAAGAAAATCATGATCTGGTTAGGGAAGGTTTCAATTTAAAATCAAAACTCTAAGATTAAAACCATGAACAACATGTTATTGAAGCAAAAAAAGTCTACAAAACTGGCTAGGGGTGTCATACAAAGTAGATAATGCAAAGAAATGAACCAAAATTAGTTCAAATCATGTTAACAACAATGTTTTCCTAAGAACACTACATATAAAAAAAAATACAAAAATGACTAGAAAACTAAAAATGGCAGATATACAATCAAACAAAAAAAATGCACTAAGAGTTTAGAAAACATACTAAACTTAGCAAACCACACTTAAAACAACTTTAACTATTAAAACAACAAAAACAAGGAATTAGAGGCAAAACAACAAGTATAATTTACGTTCTATATCACCACAAAAACATATTATAACATTGTTTCATAAGTCGTTTTTCATTTTCTTAACCATCAACAACATGTATTTGGCCTAGGCAATCCAAGAAAACACTAACAAAAGTCTAAGAATAACAAATGAGGTATAATGAACACTTATTGTATAAGATAACAATGGAAAGAGAGTGTGCTTATTAAGTTGCACCCCCTCATCAAAGTTCAAAACTTAGCTTATCTTAAGATGTTGCCTTCTTGGTACCTTTTTATTGAGATATTGTATATGTGGCAATATAGTTGTGTGTTTGAGAGGAGATAGAGAGCTCATTAACAAAAGGTGAGTATTAATGGCTTGGAAGGTAATCTTTATTGTTTTTTTTTTCCTTCCACTCTAGTATAACCTTTTGTATGAGTTTTTAAAGGGCCACTAAGATCCTTCTAGGTGTTATGAGTTAGACCATTCTCCTCCTTTGATGTAGAAAAATCAATCTAGGCTATTTATTAAGGCTAAAGGTCAGGCTTTGTAGTGTTTTAAAGTCAATAAAAAGGGCACATTAGCAAGCCTAGCTAGTTGGGGAGTAGGTTTTGGCTTCTTGTTGTGGTGCCTTTAATTTTGTAAAAGAGCTTTTATTTTTTTCGATGTAGAAGTACAACACACAGGGTATGAGGGGTATGTTCATTATCTTGTTTGGGAAAGAGATGAGCGTGATTTTAGTCTTGTAAAGTGGCAACAAAATCAACCTTCTCAAGATCTTTTGGGAGGAAGATTTGTAGTAAACAAATGACAAATCATCTAGCCT